TATTAATGATGAGACTAAAAACCCGAGGGTTTCTCAGACGTTGCTGTTTTCACAGTAATGTCTCAGGCAGGAACCTGAGGCTATACTGCCCCAGCTGGGCTTCTCCTCAGACTCCACAGCCCCCTGCGGGCTGGCTAGGCGCAAAGCCTTCAACCCCCAGCCCTCCCTGTCTCCCCCCCTCTAGGCAAGCATGCTGCTTTGGCCTCACTTTCTGCTGTGGGTGTGCCAGCTCTGCCCGTGGAGGCGTCGTACCAGGCCGTGCTGGCCTTGGCACCTGTTCCTCAGGCTGCCAGTCGGTGGCAGGCTAGGGAGCAGCTGGCCTGAATGCCTCCAAATGTTGGGTTTATATTTGGGGTACGCAGTATTCTTCTCGCCTTAGAAGCTGTCCTTGCCCACACATCCATCAGATCTGAGCTGCTTGGGCCCAGTGCAAATGCCTTAAATAAATAGGCGCAAACATTTACAAAGTGCTGGCTGCCTGCCAGGCATGCACTGCACGCAACCCTCTCAGCAGCCTCATGGTGGGAACTTGCTGTCTTCATGTTACGGAGATGGGACTGGGGATTCAGAGAGGGTAAGCAAGCTGCTCTGGGGCCCAGCTGCCTCCGAGTGTAGGGAATTCAGGGTTAATGTGGGCCCAATCAGAGTCTGTCTGCTCTTCCTCCCAACCCTGTGCTGTTGCTAATTTTCAGGTCAGATGTATTTAGGGCCATGTTACATGTGTTGGATTAATCCTTTTTGCAACAGCCATATCCCCTTGCTACCAGGATAGAGAACATCCCTTGAGCTGGAAAAGTTCCCTGTGTGTCTTTGAAGCTTAAGCTTCCCTGTTCCAAAATGTCTCTTAAACGGAGTCGGGCAGTGTAGACTTTGGTGGGTTTTGTTTGTTTGTTTGTTTGTTTTTGTTTTGTTTTTTTGGTGGAGCCTGGCACGTTTGAGATTCATCCATATGTTTAAGAAGGTAAGGGGGTTTTGCCTTTAAAAAATGATTATGGGGATAGGATATGATCCCAGAGCTTCATGTTCTTCAGAGAAGCTATGGCCCAGCCATTAGACTGTTCCTTTTTGTAGAGGGCCTGGCTTCCCGAACTCTTTAGTTCTGTCCTTTCACTCTAGAAGGGCGTCTGGGCTGTCCCTGGTTTGAGACAATGATGAATCAAGCTATCAGAAACATCTGTGCGCTGGACTTTTGTTGCCTAGGGGTAAAGAGGCCCCTTGCCTAGCCTGTGCTATTTGGTGCTCCTTTCTTAAGCTGAGCAAGAGGAGTCCTCTCTGCCACTTGGCCCACCTCTGGGCTCCTGTCTCCAGGGTCAGAGCAGCTGGAAACTATGATGTAGCTTTTTGGTGAGAAATAATGAGGCCCATGCAGTTTGAATGACAGGAAACAAGAGTGTACAGGAGACAAACACTCCATTGTTCTACGTTCTAGAAATTTTGGAATGTGTGAAACAACTTTCCCTGGTTGCTGGAACTACCTGTGTTGGGAAGAGTGCTGTTGTAGGGCAGGTGCTTCACACCGCCAAGGCGCACCTCTGACCACCTCTTGTCAGGAAGGTCAAGTAACTTGTAGGTGGGCAGCAGCACCTGGGGCCACTACACTCCCTTCACACAGTGGACCTGGTAATCCCAGCCCATCAGAAGGCTGGGGCAGGAGAATTACCACAATTTGAGGCCAGCCTGGGCTATGGAGTAATAAATGCCTGTCTTAAATTTAAAAAAAAATAACCAGGAAATTCTCTTCACCTGGAGAAAAAAAAAAAAAAAGACTTAATGGAGCTGGACATGGTGATGCATACCTTGAGAGGTATGCATCCCTCCCTGTACTTGAGAGGCAGAGACAGCAATAGAAACTCTGAATTTGATGCCAGCCTGGTCTCATAGTGAGTTCCAGGCCAGCCAGGGCTACATAGTGAGACTCTATACCCCCAGAAAAAGAAAAAATAAAAACAAACAAACAAAAAATAGCAAACTTGGTGGTGGCCATGAACTAGGCTTGTGGGAGAGGAGCAGGCAAAGAGTGTCCTCCCATTTCTCTCATTTCTGTGTTCCCTTCCCCCAGCCAGAGGAAAGGGATTGAGGCCATACTGGGGAGGGCTTGGGAAGGTGACCTCAGCTTCCCTGCCGCAGTCCTGACTGCCTAGCCAAAGCCAACAGGACCAGTGGTGTTTGGCCCAGTGCTCCCCTGTTCCCAGGAACTGGGATTTGGCCTCCCTCTGCTCCAGCTGTGTGAATTAGCTTCAGCTTTGGATGAAGCCATATGGGTTGGCTGGGAAGGACCAGAGGCCTCCCGAGGAGTATTGTAGTTCCTGAGTCAGTGCTTTTTCAGCACTGTGCTCCTAGAACTCATAGAGAAGGCCTCAGTGCCCCAGGCAGGCCCTGGGGTCAGCCCTGGGCAACAGCTACCTCTCCTGTCTTCTGCTTCCCCACTGTTCTGCTGCTCTAGACCTTCCCTTCCGGTTTTCTGCTGACAGCTCACTCCTTGGGTGCCCCCTCCCTGCTCTCAGAGCCAGCTGCAGGGAGCAAAGGCCTTGCACTTTGGAACTGGCCGACTGTGCTGGTTGCTGACATGCAGTGACCTGGTACTTGATGGAACTGTGCACAGAAACCTGAAGCCCTGACACCCAACCCAGCACTCACAGGAGAGGCCCTTCTCTGCCAGACTGCAGCTCAGTGTACCTCCACCTGTGATGTAGCCCCGGCCCGCTGACCAGTCTGCCTCAAGTTCCTGTGTGCCAGGCATGTAGAAGTCAGAAGACAGCCATGTTTTCTTTCTACTTTCACATGGGGCACAGGGATCAGACAAACCCAGACTGCCAGGCTTACTTGGCAAGTGCCGATATCTGATGAGCCATCTCATTGGGCTGGCTTCGTTTTTGGGCTGGCATTGCCTGGGATTGAACCTAGAGTTTTCCTCATGCTATGCAAATGTGCCTGTGTTCCTTCTGGATGCCCCATTCTGGGGAGAGGCTCACTTCTCTGTGGCCTTGGCTGCTGTCCATCCTGAAGCCACTTGTCTGACTTTGCAGAGCTTTGTTTCTGCTTGGCCCATCTAGCCTCGCACCTCTGAAATGCCACTATCCCGGGGCCTGAGGTCTTTACACAAAGGATGGGGAGCAGTGACCAGGCCAAGGCCCCGTGCTGTAGAATGCAGTATCAGCAGGCCTTTGTAAACAGGACAGTGGGCTGCTGTGTGCCAGTATCTAGTCCTTGGTTCCCCTCCCCTCTGCAGTCTCCCTGCCTTCTACCTCTGGAGATAGCTTGTCAGCCCTTCCAAGGTTGGACTTGGTGAAGTAGTTTTCCCAGAGAGTGCTGGAGCTGGCTGTGGGGTGAAGGCATGAATGGGCCAGCCAGGCAGTGTCCACACTGGCTGTTGTCTGAGTGGTATCCATGGCTCATGTTTAGGGGTCTTGGCAACTTTCTAGAAAGTACTTAGTGGTTCTTAAAGGGCTGGCCTACATTTGGGGTGAACACTGTACATATTAGGTGAGTGATAGGAGACTGAACCCAGGGTCAAGGAGAGTGTCCAGATTCAGCTGGAGAGGCCAGGCTGTTTTTAAGACTGCTGTTTGCAGTCTTCCCCACTTTGCTGAGTGTTCCTAAAAGGTGGGGCGTTCTGGGAGCCTCGGAAAAAACGTTGGAAGAAACGTAGTTGTCAAACTGGGTGCAAGTTAAAGCACTGTTGGAGTTCGGAAGTCACTGGCCTAAGTTCATATGGAAAGTGACAGGCTCTGGCATGTCAGACACACAATTTTCTTTTGAATCCCAGGATTTGACTCCCTCCAGGACCTAGCACTGCCTCTGCACCCCAGTCCTCAGCAAGAAAACCACAGAGGCTCAGGCAGCTTTTCATAGTCGATCAGTTCTTAACTTGTAAATTGTATTTATTTATGTGTGCATGAACACATGCCACAGTGCAGTTGTGGAGGCCAAGAGGACAGCTTTCCAGAGTCGCTCCTCCTCCTTCCTCTGTGGGTCCCCAGGATCATGTCCCCAGGCATGCATGACAAATGCTTTTACACATGGAACCCTTTTGCTGGCCTGAAATTTTGGGGAGGGAGGCTTTTTTCTTTGAAACGGTTGCATGTCACCTGGGCCAGCCTTCAGTGTGTTCTGTCGCCCAGGGTGAGCTTGCTCTTCCCACCTCTGCCTTCTAAGATTGCCAGCAAGTGCCAGCCGCCACGCCTGGCTAATAGTGCTGTTATTTATGGGGAAATTCCAGTTATGTGTCTGTCATAGATGACAGAGGTCACTTTAATTGTGATGGGAAACAGCACAGAGTAAGACTTAGAGCTAGAGTCTGCTCAGGCCAGCGACATGGTTTTAGAGAAGCATTTAAGACCTACAAAAAAGGGAAGTGGTGTGTGGTATTTTTGAAGGCTTGTTGGAGAACAGGGGTCAGCGGACCTTTTTCTTAGAGGGTTGGGAATTGGTATTGTCAGCTGTGGAGAACTTTTGGTTTCTCTTGCAACATTTGAATTCAGCTATTATAGACAAAATTTGTTGGTATAGACATATAAATGGGTGCCTTTGTTTCAATAAAACTTCATTCATACAACAAGCAAATGATGGTCCAGTTTTGGTTCTTGAGCTTGCCAGCTCCTAATGTAAAAAATGAGTGAGGCTTATGCAAGGATCTGGGGCTTAGCAGACCCTGGATGATGGCAGCTGCAGGTTGATGACAATGCTGCTCATTGTTGATGCTGTTCAAGGCATGCAGGCAGGGGCAGGTCGAGCTCTGCATATATTACTATGCTGAGCTGTCATGCTCAGTGGCTTGCTTTGCCTGAGCATCTGTGCATGTCACATGGGTAAAAGTACCCCTTGAGGCAGGAGAGACCAGTGAGTCTGTCTCTGGGCCACTGTACTCTTCAGATCAGAGCATTTTTGGAATTTACGAAATAACCTCTGGCCTAGAAATTGCAGCCACACTTGTGCTCAGAAGCGTTCGGACAGCCTGGCCCTTGGGGCCATGCTCAGTCCTCTTCCTGATCCTCCCTCAGGCTATGACTTTGCGGCTGTGCTTGAGTGGTTTGCTGAGCGTGTGGACCGCATCATCCTGCTCTTTGACGCCCACAAGCTGGACATCTCAGACGAGTTCTCAGAAGTCATCAAGGCCCTCAAAAATCACGAGGACAAGATCCGTGTGGTTCTGAACAAAGCTGACCAAATTGAGACACAGCAGCTGATGCGAGTATATGGAGCGCTAATGTGGTCCCTGGGGAAGATCATCAACACCCCTGAGGTAGTTCGTGTCTACATAGGCTCCTTCTGGTCACACCCACTGCTCATCCCTGACAACCGGAAGCTCTTCGAGGCAGAGGAGCAGGACCTCTTCAAAGACATCCAGTCTCTACCCAGAAATGCTGCCCTTAGGAAGCTCAATGACCTGATCAAGCGGGCCAGGCTGGCCAAGGTAGGCCCTGTGACTGGGTGAGGGGGATTTGGGACTGGTACCTGAGGCCCAGTTTTCCAAACATGTATGACTTTCCCTGTGCATGGGAACCAGTGTCCTGTGTAACCACTGTGCAGCCAGTGCCTGATTAAGGCCCTTTACCTGGACTGCCTCAGCCTGTTATCTCTGCTGCTATGCCCCACCTAGATCAGAGAATGTAAAGAGCATGCACACGCTTTAGAAATATCAAACAGGAAGTTACTACAGAAGAGTGGAGGCACACTTCTACAGGAAGTGGAATGTGCTGGGCCTGTGTGGCTTCAACAAAGCCCTGAGGTTTGTTGTGTGCTCAGCTTGACTCTGACAGTATGGACTCTGGGGGGTAGGGAGTGACAGACACAGCCCTGACTCGAGCTTTCATGGAAGAACAGCACACACACGAGCAGAAACAGTGGTTATTTGGTGTTGCTGGGTAGGCGTAGGAGGCCTCTGTGGGACCTGCTGTGTAAGCTGCCACAATAAGGAGCTAGGAAAAAGATGATGCCAGTCTGTGGCCCAGAGAATGCTGGGTGCTACAGTCCAGACCCCTGGTGCCAGCTGTATGCACAGGCCATATAAACGCTCTTCTCTGTCTGTGGGAGTGCAGGCCATGCCCAGGCTCACACCAGCTTCTGAGGTACTTGAAGCCCTGGAACCTTAGTGGAGCTAAGACTGTGTGAGAGCCCAAAGTGGCCGGAGGTAGGAAATGAAGATCAGTGGGGGGCCCATGGGCCTGAGGAGGAGTCTCTGCAGCGTGGGTTGCCTGGGTAGATAGTCACTGGGAAGGGACCTTGCACTGGGCTTAGGTAAACCCTTTGAACAGGAAGGTTTGACGCGGTGGATAGTGGGGTGGTAAGCCAGTCCAGACGCTGTTAGCAGGATCCCATTGACCTTTAGATGCTCAGCACACAGTGCAGTCTTCTTAAAAATGGACTTAGAAGATGCTGTGATAAGCCTGTCGTCAGGCTACTCAGGAGGCTGAGGCAGCAGGATTCCTTGAACACATGGTTTGAAACTAGCCTGAACAACCTAGCAAGACACTGTTTCAAAACAGTGGCTCCTGCCTTGAAAGGGCTTGGCTCCTGTCAAGAGACCTGTCCTGTGAGCCACCCCATCTCCAGGAAGACATCTCTAGGGCAGGGTGTTTGCAGCCGACTGGGGCACATAGAGGAGAGACGGGCACCAAGTGCCTGTGGCCATTGACACAGTCACCCCAGGGCCAGAGAGGGTGCTTCGCAGACATCCCTGTCCCATGCTGTTCGCAGTGCTGAGGCTGGTGTCTGCGCACTTGGTACCAGCACCCACCTCTGTCTCAAGGCTAGCCATGGAATATTTGGGGGTTCCCTAGCCAGGGCAGCCAAGACCGGTGCCTTATCCTTTACTGCTGCCAAGTCTGCCATTGTCACTCAAGTGTCCTGGCTGGCAAGGTGGTAGCTTATGACATTTCCTTCCTCCTTGTTACGGGGTACAGGGCTGGGGTTTTTCAGTATCTCCAGATATCTAGATTTGTAGGGCGTCCTCATGAGCTGAGCAGTTGTGAGAAAGGTATCATAAGAATACCTGTGTAACTGGCCCAGTGGTCCTAAGGGAACTGTCATGTAGTGCTCAGCTCTCTAGGCCGTGGGCCCCACGCCTGGAAACCCTGTGGTCTCCAGCTCTGCTCCCCACTGCTCTTATCCCACTGCTCGCTTTCTCTGAGCTGAGAGTGACTCTTTGGCTTGTGCAGCAGAGCTGTGACTGGCTTTCTATGGCCTGCCTACCATAGCTTTCCTTGAAGAGCCTGATGCCAGCCCCAGGATCAGGAAGGGCTGCTCCCTTGGGCTGAGGAGGGAGCAGCAACTGTGCTGGGGAACTTGGGGAAAGCGCTCATGGAACTTTCCAGTTTTGAGTCATCCCTGCCTGTTCTGGTGACACATGCATGTCACTTTAGTGGGATTCAGCTTGGGACTCAGGCTGAGCGCTGCACAGATGCGAGGCAGGCAGAGGCTCCTGCAGCTCTGTGGCCCTGCGGATATGCCTTACGTTACTGAGAGGCAGCTAAGTTCCCAGGCAAGCCTTCGCCTCGAAGCCTTCTTCCTCTGGCCACAGTAGATGAGAATTCGGGGAAGTTAGTGCTTCTAACTACCCTTCTTGTGACAGACTAGAGTTTTTGTGTCTAGAGTGTCACCATGACATCTACAAGAATATCATGTAGGGGCTGAAGAGATGGCTCAACAGTTAACAGCACTGGCTGCTCTTCAGAGGACCGCAGGTTCAAGTCCTAGCACCGACATGGGAACTCACAACTGTCTGTAACGTTAGTTTCAGGGATCCAACATCCTCACACAGACATAAATGCCGCCAAAACACTAATGCACATAAAATAAAAATGAACAGCTTTTGCGGGGCCAGTGGTGGCGGACGCCTTTAATCCCAGCAGAGACAGGTGGATCTCTGAGTTCGAGGCCAGCCTGGTCTACAGAGTAACACAGAGAAACCCTGTCTAGAAAAACAAAAAGAATATCATCTACCCTCTGTTAGAAGTACCCTTTCCTCGCTTCTATCCCCATGGCAGTGAGCTGACACGCTCATGTAAGATGGTAGTTTCATCCTTCAGCTTGACTTTGACCTTTCTGCTTCCCTCTGCCCAAGCAGTGAGCTTTCAGGTACTAGAGACCTCAAACTCTGAGGGCAGTGTGCCAAGCAAGTCCCTGATTCCTGCTTCTTCCTGTCCCTTTAGGTCCATGCTTACATCATCAGCTCCCTCAAGAAGGAGATGCCCAATGTCTTTGGGAAAGAGAGCAAGAAGAAAGAGCTGGTCAACAACTTGGGAGAGATCTATCAGAAAATTGAACGGGAGCACCAGATCTCCTCTGGCGACTTCCCAAGCCTGCGCAAGATGCAGGTACAGTCACCAGGCCAGCCTGGACCATTCTGAGTTCTCTTTGTGGGGCTGAGGAAGTCCCAGGTACTGGGCAGTAGTTCTGGGGGAAATCCCAGCTCTATAGGGCAGGGCCTCCACAAGAGGAAGCAGCTGGGTTAGTCACCAGTTCCCTACCAGAATCAGAGTTGACCTAGGTCGAGACACTGACACGAAAGAGTGGAATGTGGTGACTCAGCTCTGGGGTGGGGCATGGCTGTCATAGCAACCCAGCATGGTTGGTGCTGCTGTGACCTCATGCACAGAGTGAGGAGCCCAGTTACCTGAGCTGATAAGTGGGAGCGCCACAGTCTCCGCTTGCGTAGCCTATCTCAGCCCACTGTGCCTGGAGTCTGGGAGACTCTCTCATCTAGGCCTCTCTGTCCTCCTCCCTCACTCATAGGAACTACTGCAGACCCAGGACTTCAGCAAGTTCCAGGCCTTGAAGCCCAAGCTGCTGGATACAGTGGATGACATGCTGGCCAATGACATAGCCAGGCTGATGGTGATGGTGCGCCAGGAGGAGTCCCTGATGCCCTCACAGGCTGTGAAGGGTGGTGCTTTTGATGGCACCATGAATGGGCCCTTTGGGCATGGCTACGGCGAGGGGGCCGGTGAGGGCATTGATGATGTTGAGTGGGTGGTTGGCAAGGACAAGCCCACCTATGATGAGATCTTCTACACACTGTCGCCTGTGAATGGCAAGATCACGGGCGCTAATGCTAAGAAGGAGATGGTGAAGTCCAAGCTGCCTAACACAGTGCTGGGCAAGATCTGGAAGCTGGCCGATGTGGACAAGGATGGCCTGCTGGATGACGAGGAGTTTGCCCTGGCCAACCACCTTATCAAGGTCAAGCTAGAGGGTCATGAGCTGCCCGCTGACCTTCCTCCGCATCTCATCCCACCCTCCAAACGGAGGCATGAGTAACAGCCAGGCCTGATATTCTCCACAGCCCCCAGGGCTGCTGGCACTTTCTACCTGCCAGCTCCTTGTCTGCCCAGGTGGCCTGGGGCCTGGAGGGGCAGAGATTGAGGGAGGGAAAGGGTCACCATTTTTCAAGGTCCATAAAGACTGAGCGATGTTTCCTCAGCTCCTGAATAGGAAAACCACCATCTTTCTTTTAAAGCTGTTCCAGGGTTCAGCGGGGAGGCATGGGTGATGCTTGGATGTGAACAGTGGGATTTTGTGCACAAGAACCATGATATTTTTAATATATAACATTAGAGGCAGCCTTCTTTCTTGCCTCCTCTGTCTGACAGCCCCACACTCTGCCTCTCACCCCAGCCAGGCAGCACCAGTGACTGGGGTGCCCACCTCTCACAACCCACCCTGGTACACCCCTGTCAGCTGCCCCAGGGCTGTGTAAACAGGAGGCCCCCAGTTCCCTTGGTTTGTTTTCAGTCTGGGGCTTACCTAGGCCAGTGGCTCATTTCCTACCAGCTGTGTTCTGAGCTTGGGTAAGCTGCCCCATGGCCCTGCCGTGGTCTAGGGTGGAACACTCTCTCTGTGTGCCCATCTGCTTTCCGACGCCCAGCCAGCTCAGCAGCCACAGGCAGAAGACCCAGCCACTGTTAGCTTTTATGGGGGCTGCAGGGGCGAGAGACAGTGTCTTCCAGGAAAATACATAAGCTACGTGTGTTCTGTAAATCACACTTCATACTTGACCAAATCCAGTATCTTTTACAACACTGTTCAAAGCTGTGATTTTTGTCTCTCCTTTCCTGTACTCCAGCCTTGGGGCAGCTTTTCCCCAGAGCCAGCACAGAGCAGGCCCCTTGGGCTTGAGTTTGTTTTCTGGCCAAGGGGGGCTTCACCCCAGCTCCTGCTCAGAGCGTGACAGCTTTCATGGCAGCTTCCTGGAGCCCCTTTCTGCCTTGGGGCAGGCCAGTGGGTCCTGTGACCTGGGGGTGCTCTGGGCTGGATAAGAGGAAGCCTGTGGCTCTGGCCTGGGTGTAGTGTCCATGCAGCAGGATGGTGGAAAACCCAGCCCCTTCCCTCATCCTCATTTCCTTCCTCTCCTCCCTTGCTGAGCCAAGGAGGTCTGGGTGTCCTAAGAGCCCCAGACTGAGCAATAAGCCAGAGCTAGCAAATGACCACTTTAGTCACCTCAGTGCAGCCTTGGGGACCTGGACACACCCTATGGCCAGTAGTTGGCTGTGGGGGGGTGGGTTTTATACAGAGGTGGGTAGAGCAGTGAAGCCTGCTCATCTGGAGCTACAGGTGGGCTTCAGGGAGCTGCCTGCCACCTCCTCCTCTCCCCCCCCCCCCCCCCCCCCGCCCGCCACTGCTCTGAACCTGCCTAGCTGAGGCTCCAGCCTGGCCTGTCACCTACCTGCCTCGGCCCTCCACTCCTACATTGGCTGAGGGTCGGGGAGAGGTCCTCACAGGTTCACTGTTTAAAGTCCAGCGAGCTCTGTCCTCACCTGTGGGTCGAGTGACTGAGTGAAGACCGTCTGTTTCTTGCATTAAAGAAAGTTAAATTGTGCCAAAGCTTCTCATGCTCCCTTGTCTTTCCTGGCCAAGGAGGCACCCCCAGAGCCCCTGGAGTTCTCCAAGGAGGCCATGACCACCCACCTGAAGCTGGCAGGACTATCTGGAAGCTGAACTTAATGGTACACACCCATAGTCCCAGCACTTGGGATGTGGAGGGAGAACCAATTGGGAGCTTGGGCTGCATGAGAGCCTGTCTCAAAAAATCCAAATATCAACAGAGACTGAGGCAGAATTATGCTGGGCCGGCTTCCACCACCTCCACTCAGGACTGCCGCAGCCTTAGACGGGTGACTGGGCCCCCATCCTCCTGTGGACAGATCCTCTAAACAAAGGTTCCAGGCTGCAGAGCTGCTTGGCTCCTCACTTGCCCCAAGGCAGATTTGGAGACAGCGCAGCCGGCTCTGAAGACAGCAGAGCAGATGAGATCCACAGTTCTGGGTGGAGTTGGATAAAGCCAGCTGATGTTCCAGATAGGGGACCTGTTTATGACAAGAGAGGAAAGGATGACAAATTGGGAGTGACATGCCCAGGAGGGGGTAGATGGGAAGTAGGGCTGGGGAGAGACGGCTGCAGGCAAGGTTGGGACAGAAGCAGGAATAAACAGGTTTTTATCTCAGGTCCAGAGCTGCCTCCGGGGTCCAGCTGCTGTGGCTAAGGCAGGCCTGATAGCCCAGACGCCATAGGCTTGACCCTCACCTCCTGTGTGGTCTTAGCCTTGTGCTAGGTTTTCCTGAGCTTAACATGGAGCTTAACATGTGTTTTCCTCCTTCACAGATGAAGGGTCCAGGACAGGGCAGCACATACACAGTGGTAGCCAAGGAGAGCCAAACTCAAGTCTACCCACTCTGGTCCCACTCCTGGAGAGATTCTCAAGGAAACCCCTTTTAAAGCAAAGATAGTTTCTGGATCCCCTGCCCATCTCACCCTATCTGCCACTCAAGCTCAAAAGGCCCGTGGTATGATTCAGAGCTGTCATTCCACCTGAGGTTTTAGACACCTGGGACCACCTGTGGGCAGAGAGCCCATAGAGATGCTCTGTGCTTGCTCAAGCTGTTCGCACTAAAGAAAACAGGCCCAAGGAGCCCCTTGGAATGTTAGGACCCACCTTCAGCGCACCCAAGGGCTCATGGTGCACTCAGCGACCCCCCCCTTCTTGTGAGATGCCCAGATGGTGCTCACTGAGCAAGAAATTTGAGGAAGAGCAAGAGCAGGCATCCCAACTGCTGCCCCCGAACTCAGGTTTGGGTTTCACAACTCCAACTCCTCTGGGCCATGATGGAGACTGGAGGAGAGATGTCCACCTGGAGGCCTGGCCCTTGCCCCTTCTTTCAAGTTACCAAGCAGTCAAGATGTATCAGGAAGCAAATCCTCTCTACCCTGCTCCCAGCCCCTAGGATCAGAGGCCTTTAGGACAGTCTATCACCCACAGCACACAGACCCAGGAGGCATGGGACCCACCTCTGCCGCACAGGCCAGCGGTTTAGTATGCTGAGGTTTCTTGCAGGAGCATTCTTACCTGGTCATAGGACTTGCCAGGAGGCCAGTGGGCTGATAAGAGGACAATGGGGGAGGCTGGAGAGAGGGTTCAGTAACTTCCAGCACTTGATGCTCTTCCAGAGGTCCCGGGTTTGATGCCCAACACGTGGCGGCTCACAACCACCTATAATTCCAGGTCCTCTGGCTTTCAAGACTGCTTGAATGTGGTGCATAGATATACATTTAGGCAGAACACAAAAACACCTAAAATAATGAGGACAGACAGACAGACAGCCACTGTTCCTGCCCTCTACTTTCAAAAATCAAAGCATGCGCTGGGATGATGGCAAGTAGGAAGACCTGAGTTCATGCTCCAGAACCTGATAAAAGCCAGCGTGGCAGTGCATACTCAAGACCGCTGTACTGGGGAGGCAGAGACAGGCAGCCTCCTGGGTGTGCTGACCAGCCAGCCAAGCCCGTGAGAGACCCTGTCTGCAAACAAGGTGAGGAGGGACAGAAGGACAAAGGACCTATACACAGATATGTGTGCGCACGCACACACATGCACACTGCTTTAAAACTTGAATGTATAGCACTCAGGAAACACTGGGTTTGATCCCACAGCACTACAAATAAATAAAAAGAAATCAGTTTTCAGTGGCCAGACAGACAGAACACCCCTGTTTAGGTCCCAGCTCTGCCACATTGCTGGAGGGGAGCCTGGCTCTTGCCTTCTAAGCCTATTCTTTGGGCTCTGAAGAGACCTGTGCTCAATGGCTTCCTGCCCTGAGCGCCTTGGGCAGGGCTAGTCAGTGGGGTTGGGGGTGGGGTGGGCTGAGGGGAGCTTGGTATCTCACCCAACACCCAGAACAAAACAGGGAGACCCACCCTTCCCTGAAGCAGCTCAGACAGGGTGGCGCCCATGGGTTGCAGGGGTTCAAGGTAAGGGGGCTTGGGACTGGCTTCCTGTGCACCCAGAGAGGCTGGTAATTGCAAAACCACATGGAGCCCCTGCGGTGAGCTGGAGCAGCACGGGAGGATTTGGGAAGAAAACAGCATGATGAAAGCACCATATGTCCACCCATTCGGAGGGTTGGACACTTCACAGGAGAGACCCATAGTGTGGCAGGCAGGGAAGTAGTGTGGGAGCTCACGTAGGTTAGAATAGGACGGTCCCCACTGACCCAACAGCACCGTTCAAACAGGCCATGAGCAGCAGAAGCAGGGACGCCGAGCTCCGCCAAGCTATGCCTAGACAGAAATGTCAGACAGACCAACAGGAGCCCCGTGAGGAGCCCTGCCACTTTGTCTTCCCTTGTTTCCAAGCAGGCACTTCTCTCCATTATAAATAGAAAGGGTTCAGGACTTGCTGAAGTTATAATACCTGGGCCACAGCAAGCAGACCTGTCCTCAACTCTCTGCGGTAGAGAGGAGCAGGCAGCCATTCTTGGAATGCAGAACCAGACCTTTTGGGATACTTTTGGAACTAGGGTTAGGAGACAGCCACCCCCATGGGGAGCCGAGTCTAGATTTTAGAGGAGGAAACTGCAAGCCTGAGCTCAGAAAACCTGAAATGTGGCTGCAAAAATACAAGCACCTAGTGCCAAGAGCAGAGGCACACACCTGTAGTCCCAGCACTCAGGGAGGCTGAGGCAGGTGGATCTCTGTGAGTTCAAGGCCAGTCTGATCTACAAAGCAAGTCCAGGACAGCCAAGGCTACACAGGGAAACCCTGTCTCAAAGAAAGCAAACAAGCAAAAAACTTACAGGCACCCTTCCCTTAGCCCATCTTGTGTCTGGATTCTTTCCAGACTCAAAGTCTGTCAGAAACACCTAAGCTTCCTGTTCCAAGTACCTTCCGCTTCAGTGTCTCTCCCCGCTAGGATCTTTCTCTATTTCCCCTAAGCCTGGACTCTGAGTTGACAACTTCATTTTCTTTATCCAAAGCCTTTTACAGGAGCATTTACCAAGTCAGTCTAGGTAGGGCCTTGTTTTGTTTCCTATGCCCACAGCCCGTGGTACCCAGAGTGCCCAGGGCGTGGACTACAGGAAGAACCTAGAACTGTTTGTTACCGCCTCCCGGCCTCCCTGTGTCGGTCTGCGAAGGAGGTGGATAATAACACGCCTGTTTCTGGTAGAGATAAGAGCTCTGGGACCACTTTGAAATGCCAAGGAGCTCCTTGAGAGAGTGTTATCTGTTGCCAGGGCCTCTCCCCAAAAGCTGGTGCCAACACCTCCACCAAGGACTCTTGGGAAGCAAGGGAGGGCTGCGGGGTAGCAGGTCCCTCCTGCAGACCTGGCTGAACCTCCAGGGGAGGCAATGACCATAGAGTAAGCCTTTGGAAGAGGATGCTATGAGAAGAGACAGAGTGACAGTGGCCAGACTGCTCGGACCGGCCGGGGCTGAGGTTCTGGGGTGACAGTGTAGTGCTCTGCTGCGGGTAAGGCCAGGTCTCTGGCCTGGGAGCCCAGCTCACTGGAGATGAGAACAGAACCACCAGGGCAAAGGGGTCCAGGGCCAGGAGCTTTGGGGAGTGTTAGGGCTGGAAGCCTGGCCATCTGGCAGAGAGTGAGCATTTAAGGACTTTCTGCCAGCAAAGCTACGAAGGAGTGAGCTGCAGGGGACCACTTATGCAGACAAGGAGGCAGCAGCTTGCAAATGATGAGGGGGGCTGAGGATGCAGCTCAATCGGTGAGGGCTTCCCTAGCATGAAGAAAAACATGGAGTTGACTCTCCAAAACTTCAAGTAACAGGAACACAGGAGGAGGTGGAGGCAGAAAGATGAGAAGTTCAAAGTTAGCCTTTGCTCTATAGAGTGTTGAAAATTGAAGTCCAACCCAGGATACATAACTGAGTTTCAAAACAATCAAGCAAAAGACTAATACAGAACCTAAAAGAGTTCAGTGCCTCAGTGGTATGGAGTGCTCAGGCCTTGATTTATTTATTTATCCATTATCTATCTATCTATCTATCTATCTATCTATCTATCTATCTATCTATCTATCTATCTATCTATCTATCTATCTAAGGCAGGGTTTCTCTGTGTAATAGCCCCAGCTGTCCTGGACCCACTTTGTAGACCAGGCTAGCCTCGACCTCACAGAGAGCCGCCTGCCCCCCCCCCCCCCCCCCCCCCCCCCCCCCCGCCCCCACCCGGCCGCCCCCCCCCCCCCCCCCCCCCCCCCGCCCCCCAGTGCTGGGATTAAAGGCGCGTGCTACCCACCACTGCCCAGCTGGATTTACTTATTGAGACAAGGTCTTTCTATATAGCCCTGGCTGTCCTAAAACTCACTCTGCAGACCAGCCTGGCCTCGAACTTAGAGATCTGCCTCTGCCTTCGGATTTCTGGGCCACCACACCCAGTCCGGAGTGTCCAAGTCTAATATGAGTCCCAGCTCTGGCCAGGACTTAGTCCTGCAGCACTAAGCCTTGGACCTCTCGGACTCCACACTCTGGTGTGGAGCTGAAGGCTGCGGGGGGCTTGCGCTTTTCTCGGCTTTTCTTAGCTTTCAGGGAGGTTGAGGGCCTTGTAGAAGTTGATGCAGGGAGTGCACCAAGACCTGAGGTCTGGACACTTGGCCCTTGACTGACCCCTGTGGCGAGAGAATCAGCATTTCCAGGACCTGGTCCCAGACTCCAAGTTTTCCAAACAGAATTTGCGACTACCAGACGCCGGCTCCTCCCCCGGTCTCTGGCGCCGCCTTGTGGCTAACTTTCTGTGGGCCCCATTCCTACCCTGCGCCAAGGAAGGCTCAGAATCCCTCAGATGATAGCCAGCAGGGCTCCGTCAGGCCACCCTGTAATCTCAGCATCTGGGACGCTGAGGCAGCAGACTCCAGAGTTCAGGGTCATTCTTCCTACATAGTGTGTTCCAGACCAGTCGAGGTTATATGAGACGCTATAAAACAACAATAACAAAAACCACAAATCCAAACTCCCGCCTGTCTGCCCCCCCACCCCCATTCCTTCAACTCGGCAGGAGTGCCAAGGCTGCTTACATTTGAATTTAAATCCTGAGTCTCCTTCCCAGGGGAAAGAAATACACGCCAGTGTCTGCAAAGATCAAATGAGAGACCTGCCGTGTTTTGTTTTGGTTTTTTCTCCTTTCTCTCCCCCAGACACGTTTCTCTGTGTAACAGCCTTAGCTGTCCTGGAACTAACTAGATTAGGCTGGCCTTGAACTCACAGAGATCGACTTGCCTCTGCCTCCCAAGTGCTGGGATTAAAGGCATTCTCCACTCCCCTCACCCCACCCTCCGCAGTGTTTCTAAACCCTGTTTGGTGGGAACGGTGTGTCCAATTCAATTTGCCCCCCGCAAACATTCAGAACTGCTTCCTCCCTCAACGTTGGGAACCTGATGTCATGTCTCCAGTTTCCAGCATGGAAGAGGAGGGAAGCCCCTAAACTCCCTAAATGGGTCTCATAATTAAAGAATGAGTTGTCTAAAGACACCAGAACACAGCAGGCCCACGGTCGGGACCAGCACAGCTGGCCACAGCTGGCCAGACATCAGAAACCTCGCTGGACAGAGCCAGCACCTCGCCCGCCCTTCTTTGCCTCCTTCAGCCCATCTTGGACTCTCTCGCGCCCTCCACATTCCTGATCAGGCCGCTGGCTTTGTTCCCGCCAAAGCCTTAAAAAGCGGTCCCACCTAGTCTACCAAGAGGATATAGTTTCAGAGACACTCCCTCCCCCCAACACACACTCAGCCTTCGTTCTTCCAAAACCTCAGTGTACTCATCTGCGTGCCCACCGGACCTCACCTACACGTCTCTGCGTGATCTTTAACGATTTAAAGGAGTTCAGAAACTTTTTTGGGGAGGTGGGTGTGTGGCCTTAGCGTGGCCTGCACACCCGGGCGAGAGCGGACTACAACTCCCATCCGGCTCCAGGGCCGCAGCCGTCCTTAGCCCCTCTGGCCTGACTAAGGGACAGGCCGCTGGCCGGGGCGAGCGGGAAGCTGCGATGCCTTGGACATGCCCCATCTAGGTTAGCGCTCCGTGAGGGTCTAGATGGGGCTGGGACTGGGACGGCACGGGGATCAGATGGGCCTTTTGCGACCCCAACGGACCCCCTCCAACCCCGCCCAGGAGTTACTTTTCGTGGCCCGCCCTCCCACTTCCTGGCCGAGGGTCGGCCCCGCCCCCGCGCGCCCCCGCCTCCCCACCTTCATCCCCAGCCGCGGCTCCCATTGGCCGGCGCTCACCTGCCTGTCCGTCGGGGGCGGGCTTGGAGGGCGGGGCGGGCGGCCAGGTGAAGGAGCGCGGGTGGCGACGGAGGAAGGTGACAGCGGGGAGGGCGGGAGGGCGGGGGGAAGCCGCGCAGAGCGAGCCGCGGAACCACGGACGGACCGCCGGACGGACGGACGGACGGGCGGACGGGGCATGCGGGCGGCCTGGCTCTAGCCCGGGTTGCGGGGCTCCGGCCGCAGCCATGGAGCAGCGGCTGCGTGAGCTGGAGCAGCTGGTACGGGGCGAGGCCGGTGGCAGCCCGGGGCTCGACGGCCTCCTGGATCTGCTGCTGGGGCTGCACCACGAGCTCAGCAGCGCCCCCCTGCGCCGGGAGCGCAACGTGGCGCAGTTTCTGAGCTGGGGTGAGTGGTCAGGGCAGCACCCGGGAAGGGAAGGGAGGCTGGAGGGACAACAGTCAAGAGTTCCATACCCCCAGAGCCTTTCCCAGGGATGGCGTACTCCAGAAACTTCCTCCGGAAGACACGCTCACTCCTTGCGCTGTACCTAACGCTTGCCGTCGGACTGCACAGCCCGCTCACTCACCTGCACCTTCCCTCAGACTCCCAGGCGCAGAGAGAGGTACACAACCACAACGTACCCTTGACGCACACTCTCATTCCCAGCCGCAGACCCCATGCGTCTGTCGCCAATACACATCTTCCACAGCGGTCACCTACAGGATTTCTTGGTCACACGTCACACCTCATGCCCCACCCAGAACACGCACTCAGTCGGACGCCCGCTTTTGTGTCACATAAACATACAGGCTTTCTCAATCTCCTTCGTTCTTCAGGAGATGGGCGCTTTGTCCTGGGACCCCTCCCACCTGTCTAGCTCTGTCACACACTCACGAACCCTCCCGTTTCACCTTGCAGACAAGTTCCCCTCACCCCAATCCCCAGCCAGGACTAAGGACCAACCTCAGCCCCTTTGTGGGGTTTGGAGCCTAGTTAGAAGTGGATCTTCACCCTTTCCTGTTTGATTCGTCTGTGTCCTTGGGAATGGCTGACTTAGGGTGACCCTAAACCCAGTGTGGGGGCTGGTAGTAGCACAGGGGGTCCCCGGACACACCTGACCAAGCTCTAGAGGGGAGGGCATAGGAATTGGGCCTGGAGAGGGGGTGAGGTGGGGTGTTTGCCCAGTGGGTGACCAGCCTTCCCAGCACTCCCAAGCTGTGGGCAGGCACAAGGTATGGTTGGGGCTCTACCGCCCAGTGTCATTTCTTCCTGGGGTGAGAGCAGCTAGAGGGCCCTGCCCCTGTCGCCTGCCTGTTTCTCTGTGACTCTTAAGTATTATGTGTATGTTTGAGTTATCACACCTCCACATGACACCTGCACCTGTGTGTGTGTGTGTGTGTGTGTGTGTGTGCGTGCGTGTGTATGTGTGTGTATGTATGTATGTATGTGTATGTGTTTATATGCATGTATATTCTCCCTGCCTGCCTCTGGCACCTCTGCCTGGGACCCCAACATAGGGGACTGTTGACATCTCCAGAGGTAACTCCGAGGCCAGGCGTGACTCATGCCTCTCCTGCCCCAACTTGTCCTTGCTCCTGCCCAGAGCCCCCGCCCCCTCTGTCAAGACAAAGGTACTGGGTATCCCGTCCAGGGGGTTGGATCATCTTGGTTCTGGGCCCTGAGTGTGGCCTGTGTGGCCAGTGGTCACCTCTGACAGCTCTACAGGCTGCTGGCTGCTCCTCCCCAGCTCTGTGCATAATAAACCTGGGAAGAGACAATTAATTTCTGTAGCGAGGTTTCCACACGCCTCTGCTGTGGGGGTTCTGCCTGATAAACCTGTGGAGCAGCTCTCTGTCCCACCCACAGGCCCGCCCAGCTGGCAGGGAGTTTTTACCTCCTGGCAGGGGGAAACTGAGGCAAGGCACCAGACCATAGATGTCCCCCAGTCTCGCTGGTCACTTCAGTGACCAAGTCACTTCATCAGTTCCCAAGGCTCAGTGCCCTTCCCCCTGGCCTAAGGCCACTCCAGTTCTCTGGAGTGTCTGGGAGTGGCCGGACATAGCCCTTGTGGAGGAGGGGGTGCACTGTGATGCAGGAGGAGGTTCCTGGCTATGTATGAGCCCCATCCAGAGAGGGAGGCAGTGCTCCAAGTGGCAGGGCTGTCAGCCTGGGAGGACTCGTGTGTGCTCACGCCCTCAGGTGCTGGCGCCGGGCGTCAGGTGAAGGTTTTGGCCCTGTTTTTGTGTCTTGTGAGTACCTGAGCAGACTGGTATCTGTTCCGGACCCAGGGGCCCCACTCAGGGAGCACAGAAGCCTGTCTTTATGGGGCACTGCAGAGACCATCCTCCCTGCCCTCGGGGGCTGCCCTGGGCCTTACCTCCAGCCAAACCGCTCTGTGCCCACGGGGTCCCCAGACCCAGGCCCACAGCTTCTGAATGGCAGAGAAGCCTTTCTGAGGACAAAGAATGTCACCTATCCAGTTTCCCAGATTGGCTTTGAGGGGCCAAAGGCTGTGAACTAGGGGTGGGAGTAGAATCCTAAGTGTCTCTAGGGTGACCTGGCCAGCCAGGACTGGCTGGGGAGGACCACAAGGTCCCTCTGTGCCTCAGAGAGAGGCTACTGAAGTCTGGAGCAAGGGCCCAGGGAGGTTCTGAGTTCAGGTGGTCCACTGAGTCAGGACCCTCTCCATGCTTGTTTCTCACGACCAAATGGGCCCTGTCTCTGATCTGTCCCTTGGCTGGGTTGTCTTTGGGAAAGCAAGTCTCAAGGAGAAAGCTCTGAGTCCACTGTGTCCCCTCAGCCAGCCCCTTTGTAACAAAAGTGAAAGAGCTGCGTCTGCAGAGAGATGACTTTGACATCCTGAAGGTGATCGGCAGAGGGGCGTTCGGGGAGGTGAGTAAGTCTTGGGGTGGGTGAGGAAGAGGGAACCTTGCGCTTGGCCTGGTCTAACCCAGTATTTGCCTCGCGCCATCAGGTTGCCGTGGTGAGGCAGAAGGACAGTGGCCAGATTTTTGCCATGAAGATGCTGCATAAGTGGGAGATGCTGAAGAGGGCTGAGGTCAGTTTGGGGTCAGATACACACTGCAGAGAGGTAGGGAAGGTGTATCTGCTGCCAGATGAAGGGGCGGGGCATAAGATGCCGCTCTCTATAGTCACCTGTCTCCTCTCCCTCACAGTAAACTTTACTTGCGATGAAGGGATTGTTCCCATTCTTTTGATGGAAACACTGAGGCCCACCACCAGAAAGGCTGGGCTGAGGTTCGTCCAAGGCTATCCCAGCCTCGGGCTGAGTAGAGCTGTCCCATTGATCAGAGCCTCTGTGTTTCTGAGTCCTCCATTCCCTGAGCTGGACAAGGGGGAGTTCTGGGGAGCTCATCCCAGCCCACCCCCTGCTCTCCAAACTTGCTTCAGACGGCCTGTTTCCGGGAGGAGCGAGACGTCCTAGTGAAGGGAGACAGCCGCTGGGTGACCGCTCTGCACTACGCCTTCCAGGATGAGGAGTATCTGGTGAGGGTCTTCGGGTAGTGGAGGAGCCTTGCCAGGGAGAAAAGAGAAGGCTGTGCTTCCGCCATTTCCTGGGCCCACAGCCTCCTTCCTTAGCTCTCCTAAAGAGCTGGCCACCTGATGGACGTGGTGGGGCACCTCTGTAATCCCAGCGCTTGGGAGGTAGAGGCAGGTGGATCTCTGTGAGTTCAAGGCCAGCCTGCTCACATAGTGAGACCCTGTCTCAAAAAAAAAGCTAACCACACTATGGTCCTCAGGGACCCTACTCGGTGCTGTCTTCCCAGAGCCCCCAAGCACCACTGTGGGGTTGAATGGGGTCCCTGCTCTGAGTCTGACTCTTCCTCTACCTCCTGCCCTCCAGTACCTGGTGATGGACTACTATGCTGGTGGAGATCTCCTCACCCTGCTGAGCCGCTTTGAGGACCGCCTCCCACCGGAGCTGGCGCAGTTCTATCTGGCTGAGATGGTGCTGGCCATTCACTCACTGCACCAGCTGGGCTATGTCCACAGGTGGGCCCCCACGCTCTGCCACCCCAGTCCTCCTCCCTGAAGCCTTCTGGTAGGGCTTGCCACTGTGCCTAGCCTACAGATGAGGAAGTCAGAGCTCAGCACAGGTAAGCCCCCAGCTAAACCCACCCACCTCATGGTGGCAGAGACGTGGTGTGGTGTCCATTCAGGGGACATCTGACGCCCCTCCTCCCCCAGTGCACTTTGAAGCCCCTAGAATCAACTCTAGGAACCCTTTCCTTCAGTCTGGCTGCCCATTTCTTCCTCGACGCTTGCGCTTGCTTTCACTAACTTCCACACGTACACACACAGGACCATGTGTGAGCGTGCACACAAACACACAGGACCATGCGTGAGCGTGCACACGAGCATGTGCCTGAACACACACAGATCAAGCCCTTCACTCTCCCCCCTTCCTTCAGGGATGTCAAGCCTGACAACGTCCTGCTGGACATGAATGGCCACATCCGCCTGGCCGACTTTGGCTCCTGCCTGCGTCTTAACAACAATGGCATGGTAAGGAGCCCACCTAGAGTCGGAGCTGAGGGTAGCAGGCCACGTGCAGGGCCTGCAGGGCCGTCAGGTTCCAGGTAGGGTACCTGCAGTAGGGAGCCGGGTCCAGTCCCGTGGCCTCATGGCACCAACACCCCTGCCACAGGTGGATTCATCAGTCGCGGTGGGGACCCCGGACTACATCTCTCCTGAGATCCTACAGGCCATGGAAGAGGGCAAGGGCCACTACGGCCCACAGTGTGACTGGTGGTCACTGGGAGTGTGCGCCTACGAGCTGCTCTTCGGGGAAACACCCTTCTATGCAGAGTCTCTGGTAGAGACCTACAGCAAGATCATGAACCACGAGGTCTGACTGTCTGGGACCCCCGAGCTGCGGGACTGCAGGTGACTGCAGAGCAAGGCGGGCTTCCAGCTGACCTGCCTCCTTCTCTGACCCACAGGATCACCTGCAGTTCCCCTCTGATGTGCCCGATGTGCCTGCTAGTGCCCAGGACCTGATCCGCCAGCTGCTGTGCCGCCAGGAAGAGCGGCTAGGTAGGGGTGGGCTGGACGACTTCCGGAACCACCCCTTCTTTGAAGGCGTGGATTGGGAGAGGCTTGCCACCAGCACGGCTCCCTACATCCCCGAGCTTCTCGGGCCTGTGGATACCTCCAACTTCGATGTGGATGATGACACTCCCAACCATCCAGTGAGTGACAGGTGTCTCTGTCGGGGGCTGGGCCTGACCCTTTGGGCTGTGGGAACCTATCCCAGATGTTCTGTAGAGCAGTTAAAGGTCTGGGGTGAGGCCTTTGGACCCTTATGGCTCACCTTGGCTGGCTCCTCTGTGTGGTGGATTGTACCAAATGAAAGCCCTTTGATCTTAGCCGTTATCCTATTAACCAGAGGTGACGAATGGAAGGAAATTCCCTGCGGCCTCTAGGAGACCTTGAATTCAAAGGCTCCTGGGCACTGTGGTCCATTTCGATGGGGCTGGGTTTTTCCCCAGGTATATACCCAAGTAAATGCCGAGTTCACGGGCCTCTTCTGGCTCACTCGGTCTGTGGCCCTGATTCTCCTTTTCTCTCCTGTAGGAGACGCTGCCACCATCCTCCCATGGGGCCTTCTCGGGCCACCACCTGCCATTTGTAGGCTTCACCTATACCTCAGGCAGGTGAGTCTGATCCTCATACCTGCTGGGAAGCTGGGAACACACGTAGCTCATCAGAGCCCTGAGGGAAGGGACAAAAATGGCTTCAGCATGTGACAAGCACTTTTCAGCTCAAAGGAAAGTCATGATTATGCCCCTGGGACATGTGCCCCATGTGACAGACTGTTGACTGCGCCAGATTCAGAGCAGAGGCTACGGAGGGCCATTGGCCTCTGTAAAATGATTGGGAGCATTACCGACTCCAATGCCTGGGGTTGGCCTGAGGCCCAAGAAAGACCCAGGTGGAAGGATGCTGTGAGCAGGGCAGTCTGAGAGGTGCTGAGGATTGGATGAGCACCAGCAGGCTCATCTCACCTGTGACCTCTGTTGATTTCTTCCTTTTTTTCAAACATTTATTTATTTGCTTAATACACCTCTATGTGTGTGGGAATGTAGAGGGCAAAGAACAACTTTCGGAAGTCAGTCAGTTCCCTCCTTCCACCCTGTGGGTCCCAGGGATGGAATCAGGTGGTCAGGTGTGACGATAGACACTCCTACCAGGTAAGACAGCTCAGCTTCCTGGTGAGCCTTTGGATGAGGCTTGTTTTTGTTTAGTTGGTTAGTTGGTTGGTTGGTTTTCAAGACAGGGTTTCTCTGTGTACTCCTGGCTGTCCTGGAACTCCCATCTGTAGACCAGGCTGGCCTTGAATTCAGAGATCTGCCTGCCTCCGCCTCCCAAACACTGGGATTAAAGGTGTACGTCACCAACTGCCAGGCAAGGCCTTGTAACTTCCATTTTCCTATTATAAAACTGTGGCTCAGGTGTTACCCATTACTGTCCAAGGTTACCCAGCTTGCACAGTCCCAAAGGCAAAGCGTGGTCTAATGATTTAGTCTCCAGCATGGAGTCCTGGCCTGGCTCTGGAGCCATGTGCCCTGGGTGTTTCTTGGACGGATGGACCCTTGGTACCTGAGGGCGGTTTTCTGCCAACCATGTTCCTTTGTCCTCTCTCAGCCCTGGTGGTGGGAAGAGCACTGAGCTAGTGGCTGCCCCAGAGTGGAAACCCCACCGTGTGGAGCAGGAGCAGGTGGAGCTCAGTCAAGGTACAGGGGCAGCCGGGCAAGGCGGAGGGTGTCAGGCCAGGCTGGGGGTTAACTGCTGCAGTCGCAGGCCTGTCTGCTCACCCAGAGCCCCTTCTCCTGCCAGAAGCCCTGCATGGCCCCTCCCAGCCCCAGGAGCTGGCGTGGCTGCAGAAGGAAGTAGAGATTCTTCAGGGGAGACTGGCAGGTATCCCTTTCCTGTTCCTAGAACAGCCTAGATCCTTCCTGGATCCCAGCCCTGCCCCCTTCGCTCTGTATGCCGTGTGACTGTGGGGAAGTAGACCTTCCCCTGGCTCTGGGGAAGATTCTGTGAGATCCTGCTCCTGGAATGCCCCGGTGAGGTGGGTTGTTCTGTGTGGGAGTCTCATTGACTGTTTCTGACAGAGACACTGAGGGACAGCAAGGCCTCCTCCTCCCAGACTGATGGCCTCCCTGCCAGAAGCCCAGGCCCAGACATCCAGCTACAGCAGGAGAAGGACCGCCTCCAGCAGGTGAACACTAGGTGAAGAGGGCGAGTGACCCAGGACTCCCTGTCTCCAAGGTCACTGCCCTGACTTGGCCTTGTCCTTCCTGCCCTGGTACTCAGGAGCTGACTGATGCTCAGACAGCGTTGCGAGTTCAAGCTGCTGAACTGTGCCAAGCCCAGGACCGGCAGGAAGAATTCCTGCGGAGGCTGTGGGAGGCCCAGGAGAGAGAGGCAGCCACAGCCAGCCAAATCCAGGCTCTGAGCGCCCAGCTGGAGGAAGCCTGGGTTGTCCGGAGAGAGGTTAGTGATGATAGTGGGAGGGGAGGGGGGTGCAAGCAGTTCAAAGGAAGCCCATGTTCCCTGACACCCCTGGGTGGCCAGTATACGCTGGACAGGGCCTGGAGAGATGAGTACCTGAGGCCACCTGTGTTTGTCTCTGGATGACACTGAGTCTGGGTCAAAATGACATCGTACCTCTACCCCACCACAGCTGGAAGGCCAGGTGGCCACACTGAGTCAGGAGGTGACACGGCTCCAGGGACAATATAAACAAAGCCATGAGAAGCAGTGTTCCCAGTCCAAGGTATGGAGGTTTCTCCCCCTGGGCAAGAGAGATTCTCCTTTAGCCTGACTTCCTTAGAGTCCTAGGGGCACAAACCCTTGTCCCAGGGTAGGGTGGACCATGGCTTCTCAAACCCCTGCCTTGCCCCCTCTCCACACTGTCAAGACCGTCCATGCAGCCCCTGAGACCAACGGCATGGGATCGGCTGAGTGTCTATCTCAAGAGGCCCAGCTGAGGAAGGAGGTGGCAGCTCTGAGGAAGCAGCTGGAGCACGCCTGCAGCCAAGGGTGAGTGCGTGGGAGGGCGGCTGGGAGGGGACAGGGCAGCACTGGCTGGCAGTCGACTCCATCTCCCCGGCCTCTCCTCCCTAGGGTCAGCGCTGAGGAAGAGGTTCTGTGCCGACTGCAGGAGGAAAACCAGCGGCTGAGCAGGGAGCAGGAGCGGGTGAGAAGGGCGGACAGGCTGGGCGCCAGCAGGGTCAGGGCAGAGCTCCAGGGTCCCAGCTGCTGAGCACACTGTGGTGTGTGAGAAGCATGGAGGGAAACAGGGCTCAGAACGGTGGGTGATCTGTGGGAAGGTCCACAGGGATCAGCCGGGGCTCCAAGGGCCCCTAGGAACTGAGCCCCCCCTTCCTCCGCGGCCCCAGCTCACAGAAGAGCTGGAGCTGCAGTTACAGAGCAAGAAGCGTTTGGAGGGTGAACGGCGGGAGACTGAGAGCAACTGGGAGGCCCAGATCGCTGACATCCTCAGCTGGTGGGTACCATGGGGCTTGGTGGGGCCTGAGCTTGGCGGAGGACCCAGACCATGACACTCAGCCCATTTCTTTTCAGGGTGAATGACGAGAAGGTCTCAAGAGGCTACCTGCAGGCCTTGGCTACTAAGATGGCTGAGGAGCTGGAGTCCTTGCGGAATGTGGGCACCCAAACGCTCCCTACCCGGCCTCTGGTGAGCCCCATGCAGATGAGCTGTGGCGTGTGTGTAATGTGCAGACATCAGAAGACAGCTCTTGGGAGCAGGTTCTGTCTTTCTACCATGTGGCCCGCAGGGGCTGGACTCTGGTTGTCAGGGTTGGCAGCTCACCTTTACCTTCTGAGCTGTGTCTCCCCAGCTCCAGGTTTACGCCAAGGGGTGAGGAAAGGAACAGTGAGATCTTTGGGTCTGGCCAGGCGGCATGGGGGCTAGATGCTTCGGTAAGAAGCTGCCAGTCCCAGAGAGACCTTACAGGGTTACCCTTGGCTGCTACCAGGACCACCAGTGGAAGGCACGGAGGCTGCAGAAGATGGAGGCCTCAGCCCGCCTGGAGCTTCAGTCGGCACTGGAAGCCGAGATCCGTGCCAAGCAGGGTCTGCAGGAGCGGCTGACGCAGGTGCAGGAGGCTCAGCTGCAGGCAGAACGGTGAGGCCATGGGCAGATACCACAGGAGTGGAGGTCACACAGAGGCTGTGCTGAGCCATTGCCTCCTCTTCCCCCAGCCGCCTGCAGGAGGCTGAGAAGCAGAGCCAGGCCCTGCAGCAGGAGGTGGCTGAGCTTCGGGAGGAGCTTCAAGCCCGTGGACCAGGGGGTGAGTGCCCATTGACTGCCTCCCCTGGAGCCAGTCTGCAACTCCAGGCTCAACAGCCGTGCGCGTATGAGAGCAGTCTGTTCCTCCCACACACTGCTGTGTGCCAGATTCCCCCAGACGCCACCTGTGGGCTTTCCTGTATCTTACTGAGATGGAAACAGGTTCCCCCCACCCCACCGCTGGTTCCTTAGCCTGGGGCAACATCAGTTACCTTACCCTCTGTCTACAGATGCCAAGCCCTCCACTTCCCTCATCCCTCTCCTGTCCTTCTGGAACACAGAGGTAAGATCCAGGCAGAGGGACTAAGGAGGGACAGGTCCTGGAGAGAAGCATGGTGGTTCTGACTTTCTTCCATCCTCATTCATCCCCAGAAGGATTCCGCCAAGGACCCTGGCAATTCAGGAGAGTCCCCAAGGGCTGGAGCAGAAGCCGAGCTGAGGCCAGAGGGCCGCCGCAGTCTGCGCATGGGGGTGAGGACAGGCAGGAGGTCCTGAGGTGGGGCTGGGCCCTCTGCCCGCTCCCTTCTCATTCACTTACTTTCTACAGACTGTGTTCTCCAGAGTGCCTGCCGCCGCCACCGCCCCTGCAGAAGGCCCCCCTGCTAAGGTCAGTGGCCAGAGGGGCAGGGGCGTAGGCCTGAGCTCCTCCTCACCCCTGCAGGCCATGTTTAGGGTGGTGCTGGTGGTGGTTTTCTGAGGTGGCCTCACAGGCTCTTCAGAGTTGACACTGCCACCGGGCGCAGCCTCTTGGCCACCCGACCCTTTGAGGAGGTGCCCAGGGTGCTGGGAGACCCCGGCAGGATGGTGACAGCACGTACCCCCCACAGCCCGGCGCACACACTCTCCGTCTCCGGAGCTTCCCATCCCCTACCAAGTGTCTCCGCTGTACCTCGCTGATGCTGGGCCTGGGCCGCCAGGGCCTCGGCTGTGACAGTAAGAACCCTCTTCCTGCAGGCTCTCTCCTTACACCACAGCCCCCGGGATATGACCCTGACACACCCAGGGTGTACCTCAACCTAGCATCACCCCACGGTTAAATTTCCCCTACTCAGTTATTCCTTTCCCACCTGATGACAGTGCGTGACAGTTCGATGTCATTAGCCCCAAGGGAGCTTGTCTGGGAAGGCTTGGGTCCTTGTCCTGGACTGGTTGACCTCCATCCCCCCCAAAACTCCCCGTGTCTCCACAGCCTGCGGCTACTTCTGTCACTCAGCCTGTGCTCCACAGGCCCCACCCTGCCCTGTGCCCCCTGAACTCCTCCGCACAGCCCTGGGGGTGCACCCCGAAACAGGCACAGGCACTGCCTATGAGGGCTTCCTGTCGGTGAGCTGCGGTGAAGGGATGAGGAGGACGGGCCTGGGAGCCAGGGACCAGTGCAGCCCTCCATGCCTGCCTTCCCGCTAGGTGCCACGGCCTTCAGGCGTCCGGCGGGGCTGGCAGCGTGTGTATGCTGCCCTCAGTGACTCTCGCCTGTTACTGTTCGATGCTCCTGACCCTCGGGGCAGCCTAGCCAGTGGGGTCCTCCTGCAGGCCTTGGATCTGAGGTAGGTTCCGAGTACTGACACAGGACAAGTCACAAGTGGTGAGGGGTTCATTCACGGCCTGTCCAGTCTCTCATGTGTCTTTTGTACCTCCCAGGGATCCCCAGTTTTCAGCCACCCCTGTCTTGGCCTCAGATGTCATCCATGCCCAATCCAAGGACCTGCCGCGCATCTTTAGGGTAAGTGCTCAGGGCAGAAGGGACCTAACCTCCATCTCCCTCCCCGTGCCAGCCCTGTCTTGTCTGTCTGCCAGCCACCTCACTTCCACATACTGTCTGTCCATAGCCACCATGAGCTTGCCACGCTACAAACCAGCTATTTCCTGCTTTGTTTAAAGCCCTTGACGGCTTCCCAGTATCCTCACAAGGCTCTCAAGTAACACTTTGAGCCACCCAGCATCTGAGCCTGCAGACCTCCTCAGCCGTCAGCCCTGGAGTCCCTAACTGCTCTGGCCAGACCTTGTTCTTTCCAATTCCCAGAGTGCCTTGCATTCATATATAACTCCTCTTGGTCTCATTCCTGTGTACAGAATTGCTAGCACCTTCCAGGCCAGTACCTTGGGCCCAGGGCAATTATCACTTCACCTTTTGGCCTGCTTCAGGGATTCTACGCTGCATTCCCAAGGCGCTTATCTTTATCTTTCCCCTGTTATGGTGCTGCACTGAGCTCTGGAATTGCCAGTGTGCCTGCCTGGCTTAGTCTCTGTCTAGCACTGCCACCGGCTAGCTGGCAGCCGAGGAGGAAGGTGATTGAGGAAAGGAGGCTAGATGGATGGCTTTCGGCTGTAGCCCTGCAGCCTGACTCCCTGTCCACAGGTGACAGCCTCCCAGCTGACGGTGCCACCAAGCACATGTACTGTGCTGCTGCTGGCAGAGAATGAGGGGGAGCGGGAGCGTTGGCTTCAGGTGCTGGGGGAGCTGCAGCGGCTGCTGCTGGACGCACATCCGAGGCCCCGACCAGTGTACACACTCAAGGAGGCCTATGACAACGGGCTGCCGCTGCTGCCTCATACGCTCTGCGCTGCTATCATTGGTAAGTCTTGCGCTGAGGGGCTGTCACTCTTGAGCGGCCTGTAGGGAGGCACTGGCCTAGGCCAGTCACAAATGTAGTAACCATTCTCTTAGCCAGCAGCTATGGGCGCCACCTTGCACAGGTGCGTAGCCCCTAGTCCCCCTCTCTATTGCAAGGGGTGAGCGAGCGAGGGGTCATGAGCCAGACAGTCTGGCTTCTTTACATTTCCTTTCTGTGGGTTCTGGTTCTTTCTTTTGCTGCTGTTGTTCTGGTTTTGTTTGTTTGTTTGTTTTGTTTGAGGCAGGATCTCTCTGCATACCCCTGGCCATCCAGGAACTCACTGTGTAGACCAGGCCGGCCTGGAACTCACAGAGATTTGTCTGCCTCTGCCTCCAGAGTGCTGGGGTTAAGGGCCTGCACCACAATGCACAGCTGGTTTTCATTTTTCTAAGAGAATCTCAAACAAGTGGAAAGGACAGCGGTTTTAGGGGGAAACAGGTGTCCTGGGAGGCTGAGGCAGAAGGCTACAGAGTTTAAAGTCAGCCTGAGAGGAGCTACATATGGAAACCTTGTCTCAAAAAGCCAAAACCACCAGGCATGGCTTGGTGCCTATATATAATCCCAGCATTTGCAAGATCAAAGGGGAAGGATCAGGAACTCAGGATCATCCTTAGCTAATAAGTAGTTTAAAAAGCTAACAAACAACAACAGAAAAAAAAAAAAAAAATGGCTGCTAGGACTGGGGTTCAATCCCCAGCACCCACTAGTGCATTTAACACCTTTCTCTGTCCTCCACTGGCACCAGGCCCACTTGTGACACACAGACATACATGTAGGCAAAACATCCACACACATAAAATAATTCTTAAAAGAAAATTACACACAAAACCAAGTCGGCTCTGGGAGTGGCTGCACACACCTGTAAAGCCAGCACTTGGGAGAGGCTGAGGATGAGAAGTTCCAAACCAGCCTCGCCTACGTAGTGAGTCAGGTGCAGCCTGAACTGTATGCAGCCCCCCGTTTTAATAAAACAAAACCAACAACGAAATAGGATTATTTAAAATTCATGCCAGCTTGAGCTAGTTATATAATGAGTTGTAGACCATCCTGGGTTATGGAGCAAGACACTGTTTCCACAGAAAGACAAATGAAACTTCTTGTCTTGACTTTCTTCCCGGCAGCTGGGTGAGCCAGGGGGTAGGCACAAGTAGCGTTCACTGCATTTGGAGCCTGGGCCTCAGTTAGGGCTCTCTCTCCGTAACTGACAACTGGGGCAGGGGCAGAGCTCCCTGGCTTCCTGCTGCAGCTGAGGCCCAGAGCCAGCTCCAGCTTGCAGGTCCTCTGGTTAGGAGCCACCCCAGAGACTGTGGGTCTCCTGGGTCAGTGAGGAACCAGAGATGGAGGTTTAATGGAGCTGGGTACTTGCTGGCACTTGCCCTCCTCTGTCCTCTCTCCCCATAGCAGCTCTGTAAAAAAGGTAATGCCCTGAGTTTATATAAGGAAAGAGAGTGAGGCTTACCCAGAATCCCACAATGCAAGGTAGTGAGCCCCTCCCTGACCCCTGTCACCAAGGCCGTTCTCCATCAGAACCAGCGTAAACTGTGAGCAATAAGGGCCAAGAATCGGGGTGGGTGGACAATGTGCGGCCTCACCAATCCTGCTGCTCCAAGAGAAGCTGAAGACTGAAAGAGCAGGTGTCACTGGACAAGCTTTCTGACCTCTGACCCCTCTTCCTCTACAGACCAAGAGCGTCTTGCCCTGGGCACTGAGGAGGGGCTGTTTGTGATCCACCTTCACAGCAATGGTACCACCAGGCTGGACTAGGGTGGGTGTGGGCCTGGGCGGGGTACCCAGGACCATGGGCATCTGCTGCTTCTCACCCACCTGCTCCTCTCTCTTGACCAACACCACAGACATCTTCCAGGTCGGAGATTGCCGCCGGGTGCAGCGGCTGACTGTGAGCTCTGCTGCTGGCCTGCTGGTTGTTCTCTGCGGCCGTGGTCCCAGCGTGCGCCTCTTCGCCCTGGCTGACCTGGAGAACGCTGAGGTGGCAGGCGCCAAGATCCCCGAGTCCCGAGGCTGTCAGACTTTGGCAGCCGGGCGCATCCTTCAGGCCCGGACTCCAGTGCTCTGTGTGGCAGTCAAGCGCCAGGTGCTCTGTTACCAGCTGGGCCCAGGCCCAGGCCCCTGGCAGCGCCGCATCCGAGAGCTGCACGCGCCAGCTCCCGTGCAGAGCCTGGGGTTGCTGGGTGACCGGCTCTGTGTGGGGGCCGCGGGCACCTTCGCTCTCTACCCGCTGCTCAATGAGGCTGCGCCCTTGGCGCTGGGGACTGGCCTCGTGGCCGAGGAGCTGCCTGCATCCCGCGGAGGCCTTGGCGAGGCACTCGGTGTGGTGGAGCTCAGCCTCAGCGAGCTCCTGCTGCTCTTCGCCACTGCTGGTGTCTACGTGGATGGCGCTGGCCGCAAGTCACGAAGCCACGAGCTGCTGTGGCCAGCGGCACCCAGTGGCTGGGGTAAGGCTGGTAGAGGGCCCGGCAGGGTGGGCTCAGGCACTGGAGGGCCTGCCACCCTGTTCTGTCCTGAGTAGCTTGCCTAGGCCCTTCCTCTTCTTAGCCTTTGATTTTCTTCCTGACCTCATTCCCGACCTGGCCAGCCTCAGTTTGCCACTCCAGAAATGCCCATCACGATTGCTGTTGTCAGCGCTGCCTTGGCGTCCCCCCCGCCCCATTATTGCTCCCTGGCTTCTCTTCTCGTTCCACCTCCTGCTTCAGGCCTCTGTTCTGGGTCTTGTCCGTCACTCACTTTGTGGCTGCTTTTGTGCACTGGGGCCTGTAGAGCAGGCTGAGGTTGGCTCCTTCACCCAGCACCAGCCTGGGCAGGCACACCCTGGAGGCTGCACTTGCTCCGGAGAATCAACAAGTGAAAGGAGCGGAGGCCTGTGTCGGGGCCACCTGTAGCTGATGCGTGCGGTGGGGGCTAGGAAGGGTGGGCAGTGTTCTTTATGTGCTAAGGCTGGGGTCAAGTGTAACACAGACTGCCCCCAGTGGTGTCCTGCTGTCCCTCACCAGCTATACAACCTTGACCACTACTTTGCCCTGCGATTTCCATTACCTCATCTAATGTCCCAGATGGGGTGATTGTAGTACCTGCTCCTACTTAGAGCTGCTGGAGAGTTAAGAGAGGACAAACACGCCAAGCATTTGGAACTGTGTGGGCCTGTAGTGAGTGCTGGCTATTAGCTCATCTGGTAGGGAGCTGGGTGGGGCAGGCCTGTCTGTGGGGCCGAGGAAACAGGCTCGGAGAGGTGCCTGGTGTGTGCCTGGCTTGCCCAGAACGGGCTGTTTTCCACCTGCAGGTTACACAGCGCCCTACCTAACAGTGTTCAGTGAAAACGCCATTGATGTGTTTGACGTGAGGAGAGCAGAATGGGTGCAGACTGTGCCGCTCAAGAAGGTGAAGGTCCACCCGGAACACAGGGGTGGGGGGGCGGGGGGGGTGAGGGGGGAGTGGGTGGGGGACGTGGCCTGACCTCTGTCTTTTCTGCCTCAGGTGAGACCCCTGAATCCAGAAGGCTCCTTGTTCCTCTATGGCACGGAGAAGGTCCGCCTGACCTACCTCAGGAACCCGCTGGCAGGTGAGGGAGTGGATGCCTGCTTACATCTGTGTGTGTGTTCACCTGTGCACACGTGTGAGCTCGTGCGCCAGCCAGCTGGGACATGGAAGCAGCTCCCTGATTTTCCACAGAGAAGGACGAGTTTGACATTCCCGACCTCACGGACAACAGCCGGCGCCAGCTGTTCCGAACCAAGAGCAAGCGCCGCTTCTTCTTCCGGGTGTCAGATGAACTGCGACAGCAGCAGCGCAGGTGCGCATGTGTGGCGTGGCTCCGGCTGCTGGGCGGGGCTTTGTACTCTTGGGGGCGGGGCAAGTTTGCCGCCCTGCTCCTCACGCCCCCTCTGCCTGCAGGGAGATGCTGAAGGACCCTTTTGTGCGCTCCAGGCTCATCTCACCGCCCACCAACTTCAACCACCTGGTACACGTGGGCCCTACAGACGGAAGGCCCAGCACCAGGGACGGGACCAGGGTGAGTCCTCAGGAGCCAATCACAAGTCTCCCTGTAGTGCTTGAGCCAATCACGGGCTTTTGTTGATTGCTTGGCTGCTGAGGCAGGTCCTTCTCAGCCAGAAGCCGAGTTCCCATGGACCGAGCTTCCTGGTCCCATCACTTCTGCACTCTCCTGACAGGAACAGAAGAGCAGAGGTGCCCGCAGCTCCGGACCGCCGCGTCCCCACAGCTTCTCAGAGGCACTGCGGCGCCCAGCGTCCATGGGCAGTGATGGCCTCCCTGGAGAAACAGACCCCCGTAAGGGCAGCCATGCAGCCTCCAGCACTTGCATGCCCCACTCCTTCCGAGCCTTTAGGTCTGACCCAGGCGTTTGCGCTTCTGTCTCCCTCTTCCTGCCAGTAGTGAAGAGGAAACCTTGGACATCTCTGTCCAGCGAATCAGTGTCCTGTCCCCAGGGGTCCCTGAGTCCTGCAGCATCCTTGATACAGGTGAGCCATTGGGTGGGGCTCCCCCCCCCCCAACTCAAAGTTTAGGCCCTTTCCGGCTAAGCTGTGCATTGGGACAGGAAACGGTCACATAAGATCTTTAGACCCACTTCCCTCTGCCCCCGGAGACATGTGGACACATCTGCAGCTCTGGCTCTCTAGTCCCTAGCTGTGTCCTCCCAATGAGGGAGGAAAAACGAAGGTGGCAGTGTGGCACCTGTGTGAGGTGGCGGTACCTGCCCATCATGCAGCAGATGCATGGGAGGAGGGCCCCAGAACAGCGGCTCCTGGGCTGTGTGTAAGGTGTGTGAGTGGGGGTATATACATGGCACGGCACCCTAGGAGGCCAGGGGACAACTTCCAAGAGCTGTTCTTTCCTCCCACCTTCTTTCCGAGGCAGGGTCTCTCTTGTTTCTGTTCCGTGTGCTTCAGGCTGCTTGGCACACGAACTTCCGGCTGACACCCCTGTCTCGGCTCCCCATCTCACCACAGGACTGCGGGGATCAAGGATGTGGCCACTGCATCTGGCCTTTTACCTGGGTTCTGGAGCTCAGACTCAGGCTTATTAGGGTTGTGTGGCAATCATTTTTACTGAGCCATCATTTTCTATGGCGGGGGTGTTGAGACAGGTTCTCTCTATTTAGTCCCGGAACTCACTGTGTAGATGAGGCTGGCCTTGAACTCAAAAAGATCCCCTGCCTCTGCCTCCTGAGTGCCGAGATTAAAGCTTAAAGTGCGAGATTAAAGATTATGCACAGCCATGCTTAGCCTGAACTACATTCTTGAGACCCAGCCTAAAGGTGGGGAAGAAATCATATGTGAGCAGCCTGTTTTGTCTGGGGTCAGGGGAAGACCTGAGAGGAGCTGGGAAGGCTCCCACTGGCCCTGCAGCCATGCCTCTTAACTGCCTCCACCCACCCTCCTACTCCAGTCATACAAAGCCACTCAGAACCCCAACCTGCCATTTCCTTCCATACACTCAAATCCTTGTCCCCGCTCTTACCTCTCCTTCTCATGTGTCTCCTGCCTGCAGTGCCCAGGCTGCATGCCACTGTTACCCTCAAAGCATTCTTGTCCACATGGTCAAGCGGACAAGCCACCAACACCTCCTTTACCCTCTCCTATGCTATGGCTGACTTCCTTCCTTCCTTCCTTCCTTCCCCTTTTTAAAGGGGTCTCATGTAACTTAGGCTAGCCTTGAACATGTGATTCTCCTGCCTCCACCTTCTGAGTGCTGGGATTGCAGGCATGCACTTCTGCACCATTTGTGCTATGACTTTTCTTCCATGCTTGTCTTCTTTGCTTAGCTGTGGGATCCATGCCATGGTGGTTGGATTTCATTCTTCTGCCTAGAGTGAAGCATGCTTTTGGCTGAATATGGGATGGAGTGAGTGAGCAACACACTGGGCTTGTTCCTGGCAGTTCTGGATTCTTTGGGGACTTTCCCCAACACCTCCAGTGAAACTTTCTTTAGGGTCCTCCTACTGCAAACGCTAGGTCCTTCCAGACCTCTGGGAGGCACTAGAAACCATGAGAAAAGAGACTTCTGTCCTTCTTCCCATCTGACTTCTTGTTCTTCCTCCCAGGTCTCAGAGCGGCCCAGGAGTCTACCCCTGGACCCTGAGTCAGAGAGCACCCCCTGATGCCCTCTGGCAGTGCCCACCCATTCCCAAGACAGAAGTGCTGAGGAAGCGAAGAGCTTGTGTGATGCCATACTCCGGCTGGTCCGGGACATGTTGACATTCAGACTCAGGGAGAGCCTGGGTGGGGCCTAAGAGCAGGGCATGCCTGGGGCCCCATGAATAGGGGTCTGACTCCTTGCCCTCATCCTGCTATTCCCCTGGGCTTCCAACACAGGCCTACACTGGCCTCTGGGAGTGCCATGGCTCTGGTGCCCAGGGAAGATTGTGCCAAAGTTGTGCTTCATGGGCCCAAGCCCAGGGAAGCTGTTAGGAGTCAGGATGAGAAACGGGATCTTGGGAGTATGCTCCGTGTCTTGTCTGCAGCCTGGCCTCAGCTGAGGCCGAGATGGAGCCCATCAGGTCTTTCTGCTCAGGGCCGGGCTGGGGTATGGGCGCTGATTTACAGGGAAAGGATAGAAAAGTAGAAGGAATGGTGCAGGTGAAAGAGGTAAGAGAAAGGCGAGGGAGCAAAGGAAGCAGAAGAGGAAGTGATGTAATCAGAAGGAGACGGATGTTAATCTAAGTGGAGAGAAGGACAAAATGAGTAATGAAGAGGAAGATTCGGGAGAGGCAGGAGAGAGGAGGGAGTGTAAGCTAGGGGAAAACCTAGACCCAGAAACTTTTCTCTGGGTTGGGCCTTGAGATTGAGAGCAGGACTGTTGCCAGTTTATCCGTCCAGGGAAAAATGGTTCCTATGCAGGGAGGGGATGGGAGGGTATTTATAAGGGCTTCTTGGTGGGAGATGGACACCCTGAGGGGGCTACGGACATCTCCAGGCACACTCTGGCCCTTCCCAACAAGAAGGGTCCTTTTCTGGAAGCTTCAACCAAGTGTATTAGGGAAACATAGGGGGCATTTTCTTATTGATCACAGTCATTATTATTGTTATTATATTGCTATTTTTATTAAACCTTGCCCTGCTCCAATGTGGGGAATAAAATAAGTATTTATCTCCTTGAATGCCACATTCCTGGGAGGGATGGACCTTGATGCTCTGGCATGTGGCAAGAAACCAATAAAGTCAACTTTGTAAGCTGCTGGCCTCCCCGCCTGCGTCTGTCTTGCTGTGCAGAGATGGGAGGGGGAGGTAGGAGCAGCAGTGGAGATCACAGACAATTAAAAGCTGGCCTCTGTGTGTGTGTGCATGCCCTCAAGAAGACCATGAGGCAACTTTTCATGTTTTTCAAGAGCTCTGAATCTTGGGTGGGTTTTGGGTGCTGTCTATGTTTTTGTTTTTGAGGCAGGGTCTTAATGTATCTCTGGCTAGCCTCGAACTCAGCATGTAGACTAGGATCGCCTCAAAATGACTGAGATATAACTGCCTCTGACTCCCACGTGCTAGGATTAAAGATGTGTGCAACCACACTCGGCCACATTGGGTTTTGAGATGGGATCTCTCCTTCTCCAGGGGTTGGTGGCACAGGCCGGGCTGCCCGTACATCCCAGGAGTCTGCCCATTTTCCTCTCGGAAGAGCTGGAATTATGAGATGTGCCACTATGCCAGCTTCTCACCTGGCTTCTCAAACTCAGGTTTTTATGCTTACACAGAGGCATCTTACCAACCAAGCCAGACCTCTGGCCTGTGTCTTAGAGAATCGGATGATAAGGGCTGAAGAAATGGTTCATTGCTTAAGAGCACTGGCTGCCTTCCAGGAGACCTGGGTTCAGTTCCCAGCGACCACATGGTGGCTCACGGCCATCCCTAACTCCAGTTTCTGAGAACCTGTTGTCCTCTTCTGACCTCCAGGTACCAGATACACTTTACACCTACATTCGTGCAGGCAAAACACTCCTACGCACAAAATAAAAATAAACCTTTTAACTGGGGGGGGGGGGGGCCTGTAACCCCAGCACTCAGGAGGCAGAGGCAGGAGGATCTCTTGAGTTCAAGGCCAGCCTGCTCTACAGATTGAGCTCCAGGATAATGAGGGCTGCACAGAGAAACCCTGTCTACAAACAAACAAGCAAACCTTTAAGAACAAGAATCAGATGACATGCTCAAATAGGGTTAATGAGCACAGTTTGATAATGAGAGGATGGCTTACAGATATGCGGGCAGTGTTAGGGGGCCTCCCCAAGGAGGGTGGAACCCCAGAATCTTAGCAGCGGGGGGTTAGTGCCCCACACGTTCATCAGAAGACACAGTTGTGCTACCTGGCAGCTGTAGCCGGCCCAAGACAGTTTTGGCTGAGCAGGAGGGCAGGTCTGGAGGTAATACTCTCGTTTTACTCTGTACCCACCCTTCCCTTTCCTGCCTCCTGTGCAAACCCAGCCAGCATTAAAGTTCAGGTTTACGATTGGCAGAAGGCGACCTTGAAGGCGCAGCCAGTGGAGAGGGTGGGTGTGGATCCGAGGCCTGCCCAGGGCCTCTGCGGCTCCAGGGCTCGTTCACGTTAAGGCATCTGAGGAAGCGGGAAGGCCTTACAGGTGTTTTGTTCTTAGCCAGGGTTTCCATGACTGGGCAGGATCCAGGCCTCCAGACTGAGCTGGACAGAGACGGAAGGTAAGGTCTGCACCCTGGGACCAGGACAGGCCCTAAAGCTGGAGGGAAAGTAGGCCAAGAAGGTGGGGTGCCACCATCTGGTTGGGAGTGAGATTGCAGGGAGTGAGGTGTGGGCTTGAAGACAGAGCCAACAGGCACATGCACCTGCTCCCCATGCAGACATGTAGGCCAGACACACACACACACACACACACACACACACACACACACACACACACACACACACACACACACACAC